AATTTTCAATGAAGTTCATCTCAAGGTTACGTGATCCACAGGGTCATCAAACTTTATACTGCTCCTATATAACAAATAATGACAGATTTGGATTGCCTATGCAATTAGCTTTCCAAAGACACCAATATCAACCAATTTGGCCTAGTAGTTACAGAGATATGACCATTTGAAAATTGACGGGTGCGTCCATTTTGGCCAAAATCGCCAAAAAAGGGCGTGCCGTAGCGCGAAAACCGTTTGTCCGACGGAGCTGAAATTTGAAATTTCAGCTTTTTCAGCCGAAATTACCCCATAAACCAAATTTCAGCCAATTTGAAGGAGGTCAGGTGTAAATTTCCATTTTTTTTGGGTGATTTGACACGGAATGACCCCGTGATCTATCAAATCAAACACAACTTTCAGACATAAAAACAACTTCACAACACACGGCGGTCAAACGCCCTTTGGCTTGGTGAACTAAAAACATTACCTCAGTCCCAAAAACTCCCAAAATAACGTTCCAAACAACAGTAAAGTATTGTATAAATTATGTCATCTACTACTGGGGTTTATACAGTGACGCTATTGAATTGCTAAGCGTATAGCACCTGCCATCTATAGGAGAACATAGTAAACGTTCCAAATTAATTGTTTGTTTTTTTTGTTTTTTTGCCACGAGTATACTCGTGTTTCGCGGCCGTGCGTTTTGCAGGTTCGAACGAGTATACTCGTGTTTCGCGTTGAACGTGTTAAAATGAAGTGAAACACTCATTCCTGAAACACATGACTAACATTCCATCAATACGACTTATAACTGAATAGGCTGAAAAACATAATTACACTGATACACCATACCCCTCCCTTTCCCCTGCACAACTTAACCCTTCCTTACCCAGTCAGTATGAACCCATGCAATGGACCAGCCAATAAAATATTAATATCTCTACAAACCTCTTTTAAATCCTCCCTCTTGAGTGGCGATGTGTGGAGAAGAACATCCTCCTGCTTATCTTTCTTCTCCTCCTCTTCCTCCTCCTCTTCTTCCTCCTCCTCATCCTCCTCTTCATCCTCCTCGTCCTCTTCATCTGGTTCCCCCTCATCGTCGCTATAGGAAACAAGGAACCAAGTTTATTTTAGCAGGATACCACTCGTTGGCGACGTCTATTTGATTGCTGGCACTTTAACAGACATATTATCAGGAGTGTATCAATATTGATACACTCCTGATATTATATTGCAATGATAGCTAACGTGTAGCAATGATTGAAATTGAGCTGAACTTACGACAAAGAACCAAGGACCTCTATCTTGTCGATGGCTTCCAATGTACCCTGTAGTATCTCAATTCCATCTTCACCTAGCTGGTTACCTGTTAGAAAGCATCAGGTATTTTTACACTTAAAAAAGGCTTTTATTAATAGGCAAAAAACTTTATCAAGAAATATACGTAACAACTATGCTATAGCGCTTGGCATTATTTCCCATTTAATTCTACCAATTGACACACAAATTAACACCATTCACCACAATAAGATAACAAAATATAGCTATGAATCTAATCAGCATCGAACAACAAAAATTGTTATGGAGTTACATTAAAATGTGTTTCAATTGGACATAATAAGGTGCTTTAGTGGTCCCTTTTAGCTAGTAGATGCTAGACTCTATCACAACATAATAGTAGAGTGATTAGATCACTTAATACAGTAAGATTAGAAGCTTACCATTCAGGTCCAGCCTCTCCAACTTCGTCTTTTTCTCCATCGCCTCGGCGACGGCGATCGCGCCACGCTGGTCGATCTCGTTGAAAGTCAGCACGAGTTCGCGCAGCTCGTGATGACCTGGACCTAGGGCATCGGCGAGCACGGTGGCGCCACGTGTCTTCAGCAGGCAGTCGCCGAGGTTCAACGTCTCGAGTTTCTGCATCGCCGGCAATGCCTGTTAGAGAGAAGAATGACAGAGAGATGATTAAACGCGATTAAACGCACGACGATCGATTCGGAGTAGGCAGACGATGCCACGCGACGGTACAGAGGGTCAGCATCTCCAGGTTCTGCATCGCCAGCAACACCTGTTAGACATGTTAGAGAGAAGAATGAAGAAATGACGGCTGAGCGATTAAACGCACGACGATCGAATTTTGGCAGATGATGCCACGCGACGGAATGGCTTCCTGTGTACTACCTCTGAACTACTATGACAACTCGACTCTATCTGATAATACATACGAAGCAGTGCGAGGAACTGAACTATCGGCGATGACAGGCAGCTGTAGCCAATCGGCATTAGGACGCGATGATGTAATTCGAACGGGACGACAGCGCAGTTCGCTCGCTTGCATGAGTGAGCGAAAGTTTTCACACGAGCATTATTGTTCACCCACCTTTGCTAGGTGAGCTGCACCCTTCTCTGTGTACGTGTTGTCGTTCATGTTCAGAACGCGCAGGCGACAGTTCGCTGTGAAGGCGTCGCAGAGAGCGGCGATGCCGACGTGGTAGATGCCGTTCTGCGGCATGGATATCTCCTCCAGGGTGCCTATCGTCTGCAGGAATGATACATGATACGTCGAGCCATTACACATCGAAGAGTTTGCTTAGTCTAAACTTTTTTCTTTAATAGGGTACGACAAGAAATGGACTGGAATGTTTGAGAAATTGTATTTTTAAGGAATCTTTATATCTTTGAGAAATGTTCATATCTTTGAGAAATCTTTGTATTTTTGAGGGGATTTGAGAAATCTTTGTATCTCTGAGGAATCTACGAGGACTAAATTATTCAAATAACATACGACACTCATAATTGACTAGGATTAGCAAGGGGGGATGAATTGTCCTATTGGCCGACATGCCGTCTGAAATTACTGGGGAGAACATTGCACATCCTAGCCATCTAGTAATCTAGTATTACCCAGGGGGCAAGACAGGTTTACCAGAACCGGGATTGCTATAAAAGGTTTGTTTGGTTATCAACGTGTTCAGGGGACCTCCCTGAACAACTTTCAGGTGGACAACCTTGAAAATATGGCTGCTGAAAAAAAATGGCGGCCATTTTCAAAATGGCCACCTTGATGTACTAATGATGATCAATTTTTAAGATATTGTTTGAATAGAACTTGCTTTCACCATGTGTGGTATCATATTAAAGGGAAATTAAATTCTCTACAATGAGTACCAATTTATTGAGGCTTAGTGATGATTTTAATGACAATTTTGGGCAAAAAATGTGATTTTTTACCATTTTTTTTCCAAAATGTGAATTGCACCAAAATTCATTTTCTCCATATTTCAAACGTCCTTTTGAGTAATGAATTGGAACTTTCAGAAAAATGCCCATATGTATGGTTAATATTGTCGCCAAAGCTCAAGGTTTCATTGCATTTTCTAAAATCATAAGTATATATTACTCCAAAGATAACATTTTGATATCTAAACTAAAACAGCATTTTGTCATTTAGTGGTGGTATTTATAGAGTGTCATGAAAATAGCTCCCGAGATTTTTGTGCTCAATTATCATTTTTGTTGCTTGTATCCGAAGTTGATTTAGGTTACAACTATCAGAAAATGGCAAGGGTTCAAATTTAATTTAGTTTTAATTTAGTGTAAATTAATTTTATAGTAAGTATTAATTTCTTCGTCATATTTCTAAATCTATACTGAGCATCAACAGAACAAACACAATAATAACGATTTACTGTTCATTTTTTAATTGTGAAACAGATAATGGTACAGATGACAAATTATACCTGACACTAATTACATCGAACATAAAATTACCTGTCACTGTGTGTTAGTTAATTGTCGACATGTCCAAAGTCACTGCTTTGCCTGCCTTTCAAATATTGCAAGTGTTACGTGAAACGGCCTGCCACTTGGTTGCGGCATCCCTGGGCAGCATACATCCATGTAACATCAATAGCCTTTTCGTTTCACACAGTACAGATTTACTGTTCAGCCTCTTGGTCGCAGCCACACGGCAATAGCCTTTTTCATTGTCTGTCAGCCAGGCTGGCTTGCAGTTGAATGTGGACTGAGGACAAGTTTCCCATCCTTGCAGAGCGCCAGCCATACTCCTCAAATGGGGAAGCTCTGGCTGCACAATGGTGCACTCTTGTTCTAGTGAAAGTTGCTAGAGCTCGCACTCGTATGGTGTGCTCAAGAAATGCATCTTCTGTTGATGGTAGCCACTTCGCCAGAGTTGACCTCGTTCAATTCAGGATTTAGTAGACCAGGTTATCTCCCAGCGATGAATTCAAACAGCGGAGAGGGAGGGGAGGGGCGAAACTAGGGGGTCCCAGGGGCGTGCTTTGGTCTTTACCGTACCACTAATTTAATGCGTGTAAATCGTCATCCCAATAGACGGTATTTGGGGTTCTTGTATATAATTAAGATAGGCGGTCGTGTGATACATTAGTGGTTGAGGTGTGGACAGGTTTGGTGTTTGTACTTGTGTGTTTCTGCAGTGCATGCGATGGCACCGGCTAAAATACCAATGCCGGTTGTCAACTGGTCGAATGGAATTCTGACGATCGATTGCCCTCTGCTGGCAAACTTTCTATTGTAATCGGGGACGGAGAGTATTTTAAACGGGCCGCAACGAATTGAAAACAGGGGCGAGTTTTCCCAACGGGCCGCGGCGCGCCCCAGTCTTGCGCAACGTAGGCGGAGCAACCCTGAGGACCCTCAGTTTTCAATGATCACATCTCGAAGTCATCGCCTTTGTGTAGGTACCCAGTGATGAAAGCTTGCCGTGGCCTGCGTTCGATGAGTTTCCAATGTGATGTCGTGTCTGTACCTTGCCCTCGCCAAGGTCTTCAGGTTTAGATATGTCTAGCATGTCTGCTACTGCTTATATCCAGGTCTTCTTACCAGTGAAGAAAGATAGTTTTGTCGTTGTCTCTTCCCACTCAGGCTAGAGGATAACATGGTAGTGCGACGACACTGCGAAGCGTCCAGTGCCACAGCCATTGCGTGTCTATGCGTAGGTAAGCTTCTCCGGGCAGTTCTCACCCACAGTTCAGGAATGTATTCTTCAGAATAGTGCGCTGCATAGTAGACACAGATGATAGATAATTCCGATGTTCATTGCCGTGATGATCACTCTCTCAACATCTTCATTCTGACAACGTGTATATAAGCATGACCTTGCTATCACCTCCTGCTGTGTAGATCCAAGCAGCGACGTAGTTTGCGGACCCTTCGGTGAGCAGCACACTCAGGTTTCTTTCTAGATCTCTGTTTTAGGTAAAGCGGTAGTTTTGAACCGAGTGTCTGGATCTAGCTGCTGTTCACTCTGCCGTCCACGTACTCACACCAGCGAACTACGCTTTGTGCGTGCATACTGAGAAGAATATCTTGTGGGTCTGGGGTCCGGTATGCTCAATACTTCAAACACCTTAGCCTGGTCTGGATCAGGCCAGTACTGTCTTGCCTGGCTCTGCTGAATTTGAGCTTCTGATGTCACCATGTATCGGTCACCAGCAGAAAATTGATGATCCCTGTCCCAGCGACATCTTTTAAGCAGCTACTGTGCTTGTAGCAATCAGCAATGGCTCTGAACTGTTTTATCTTTCTTGATAACCAGCTCGGCGTTATGCAAGCATTGCGTCAATCACCCACTGCTGTCTTAGCATGCGTTTACCTTGTGCAGAATCAGCAACACTGTTCACTTGGAGTCTCCTCCTTCAGGGTCTTCACGCAACTTAAAGCCGTTGTGCTTGCCCAGCCCTCATGCTAATCACTTTCATTGCAATAACGGACGGGCCATCTTACTCACTCATGGTTCAATAAAGTTCGACGGGTCGACAGCTCCACCACTGGCCATGATCTGTGTTATGCGTAAGAGAGGCAGAGCTCTACTTCATCACTCTTGTGTGGTTGTCACCTGTTCCTTGCTCGACTCTTTGGCTTTGATTTTGTGTGTGGAAAGTTTTCAACTCACGAAATGACGTCTTCTTTATTGCATCACATGGATACTGGAACTGGACAATGCTTCAGACCAAGTTCCTTCAACCATTGAGAGTGTTCCTCAGGACTGCTGCTCTGCACGCATGCCCCTTGATAGATTATAACCAGGGATTGGCACTTTTGCTGAGAATGGTTGGTCTCCATGGCTCATATCAACTTTCTGACCATCTCTGCTATCCCTTGCCACTAGGATTGATTCGATATTTAGTATCAATAAAAGTGATTAGTTTATAGATGGTAAGAACTAGTGATTTTTCCCGTAGCAGGACGCGGTACCCAGTGCCGGCAAACTCTTTCAAGTATCCTCTGGTAATCCTCCCATGGTAGGACAGTCTTGCGAGCGGGTATCTGCAGAAGGTTCGTGTTCACACCACTGAATTTTCCTTACGGATTTTCCATGGTATTACTGTAATATGATATGTACTAGAACCCCAAAATAACCTTAACGGCTATAGACTGTTGATATGTAAGAAAATGTTGACAAGTTAAATCAAATTCGGACAGGGAAGATTCTTCTTGTGCCAACAGCGACAACCAAAGCTGACTAGTCCGATCCCTAACCGGTTAGTCTGTGATAGCCACTTAAAGTTGCCCTTATCTTCTTGTCATGACTATCTGAGACGCAAAAATGATCTGGCAATCAGTTGTGCTTTCCATGCCTGCAAACCAGCCTCAAAAAAATACTTTTGTTTTATTATTGACGCAGAAGCTGCTCTTTATTGAATTTTGTATGAAAAAAGAAGCTTCTCTAATTTTGTTTACGGGAGCTATTTTTAACGCTTGCCGAGCTAACTTTTTCATAGCTGATTTTGTTAAAAATTTTCATAATTTGATTTGCCACTGACTCTAATTAATGTCTCAGAAGCCAGAAATTGTGATAATACTCGTAAAGGTGTTCCCAATACAAAAGCAAGATGTATGCTTTCTGGCAAACGACGACCAGTCACAAATGTATTCCTAAATTGGATGACAAAAATCACGGAAGGCCGGGTTACCATGTTGCTGTATGCATGTTGTGTACCAAAGTATGGACTGCATGCAACTGATTGTCTCACTCGATTAATTTTTAATTCAAATCTCAGTCATGTCTAGCCATTCAATAAAAAAAACTTGCCTTGCGCCGACAGGAAGTTGCTAATCTTACTAAACTTACCTTGCCCGGGCGAATTTGGTTGCCGCGGCCAATCGGGCAAGCGTGGTTCTGGCTCGAGTCCCGCACCGCAGGGTTCGAATTTCGGCTGAAAATCTTAGTGGGACAGCAGGAACCACCAATAACTTCAATGAAAGTGGTGGACTGCCACAAAAATTTGAGGGGTCAGTTATTTACTAGCAGTGGTAACAAAATAGCGTATATTCAGACAGATAACCATCTGGAATTAATAAAACAGCATAACGCATAAAACAAGGAAGTTAATGGAAGAAAATAGTTGATCTTCATTAACTTCTTGTTAACTTAATTAGAGTTGTAAATATGTTTCACTCCTACTATCGAATGTCGGACGGGGAGCTGTGGGTAAGAGTTTTACTTTCGTTTTCTCTTCCATGCAGTCCACGATAAACCCATTGCATAGATTATCAATGCGCTCACATCCATCAAATTACAAGTGCTAGGATTCTTCAATAATATACAGTTTACATTTCTTCCTAAATTAATCTACTCCTGAATAAAACAGTCACTTCTATCGTAACCGAATTCAGAAACAGCATTTGATACGTGGTGTATGACTGTCATGCGTTGCCCTAAATTCCAAATAAACCCCTACGATATATAATTATTGTTCAGCGGTTATAAAAAAACACAACTTGATATCTTATAGTCTACGCCGAGAGTTTTGTTCAGATGTGGCGAATCATGCGTGAGGCTCAATGCACCTTGATGCTCTTTGGCATACCCTAGATGTCTACGTGCAGGAATGCGAGTCGTAACAGCTGACGCGCGCAACCGGGACAGATTTTTTCTCGCTAGTCCAACAAATTTTCAGCATCTCGTAATTAGTTTTACCAGGATCGCTTTGAAAACGCTGACAGGAGCGAAAATCGTCTCGCCGCTCCCGTGTATTGTTTTCGCTGACTAGAACAAACCTTCATAGAAAGCAAAGGTACTATATGGACCAATTTATCACTGCCATATATGACATTGAACTTTACGAAATTTCGTAACTCGATGAAGTCATACTATGGCCATTATCGGAGCACATTTGAAATTGTGATAATAGACTCCAGCATCATCCCAACCCCTGAAATCGACGCCAGAATCGTGATAATAGGTTCTTATAGCAGAACAGGCCACAGGCTCACTACAGAGGAGTCATCGGAAAGCAAAAGCACCCTTCCCACGGGGGGATCGGCGATCCGAAAATTTGATCCCCACCATTTCTGATAGTTTGAAAAAAATCACACTCAATAAAATCAAAACAAAAAATCAAATCTTTACAAAAAAATCACTCACGGAGCTATTTTCATGACACACGCCAATACCCACTATAATTACAATAATGCTGTTTTTTAGTTAATATCAAAATGTTAACTTTGAGAGCCAATTAGACTTTATTTACAAAAGCAATGAACTTGAGCTTTATGCACAATAATAACCTATCAATATGACGGCAAGTGTTCTGAAACAGTTTCAATCATTACTCAAAAACTCCTTGCAAATAGGAGAAAAATGTATTTGGTGCATATATATTTTTGGCGAAAAATCGATTAAAATCTCATTTTGGCCCAAATTGTCATTTAAATCATCCGCCAAGGCCATGAATGTGAAGTATCATCTTTAAGAATTTAAATTCCTTTAATATGATACCAACACATCAGGTGAAGCAATTCTATTCAAACGATATCTTAAAATTGATATCATTATATAACCCGGCTGCATTTTTGAAAAATAGCCGCCATTTTTTTTCAGCAGCATATTTTCAAGGTTGTCCACCTGGAAGTTGTTCAGGGAGGTCCCCTGAACACGTTGATACCAAACAACCTTTTATAGCATCCCGGTTCTGGTTTACCCCAAAAATGGGGTTTTGCCGCCTGGGTATATCCATGTTAGTAATCTGTGAGCGATCACCTTGAAAGCTTGTGCTAATGCTTTGGCTCCGTCATTCTCTAACCGATTTCGTCCGGCAATGAAAGTCTTCAACTTTAGTGGTTTGCCAGCTTCTGTGCTTTTTCGATGACATTCAATTAATGCCTGAGACAAGATCTGTAAAGCAAAAAACAAACTGTCAATGCACAAGTGCAGTTATTAGTACACTCCTCTTAATAAACTGCATGTTTCTACAACAGGAACGGAAAGCGCGCTCAAACGGCATGGAGTGAGTACAATACCTGCGTCAAGAAAAGGAAAAGTGTGACACTACCAAATTGGGAGCTACTGTATGCTCAAAACGTTTATGGATGGAGAGAGGAGGAAAAAGAATAAATAAAGAGAGAGCATGTGAGAGACTGAGGCAGGGGAAGAGACGGAGGGGAGGGAGGAAGAAGAGAGAGCACAGGAGAAGGCGAGTGATATCCTTAGGATGAAAAGAGGAAGGCAGGGAGAAAGGAGGGAGGGAAAGAGCACGAAATAAGAAGGATATAGATATGGCGAAGGTGCACAGACAGGAAGGCAGGAAGACAGGTAGAGGGAGGGAATAAGAAGAAATGAGATAGAGTGAGAAAGATGGTAGACTTTCATCCAAGTAAGTTACATCTGACAGCACCGAGCACAGGCGAACGCCACGCACCTTGCCACCGCCGATTCCGAGACCGTTGTTGTTGAACTTGAGCACTTCGAGCGTGTAGCCGCTGCTGCTCCGCAGCAGCTTGCTCACTGCCTGCACACCGTCGGGACCAAACGCGTTGTCACTGAGGTCGAGCTCAACGAGTCCCGCGCCCGCCTGCTCGATGGCGCCCCCTAGCGAGTTCTGCAAGCAAACGAGCGTGCGGTGAAATCAAGACAAATCTGAAATCGATTCTCTCCTCGGAGAACACTGGTGAATTTGGATAGTGCGACGACACGAAGTCTGACCCTGGCAAACGAGATTCTAATTTTTTCGCACAGAATGACACAGACCTCCACATTCTGCCCTCACTCAGTGGCAGAAAAATTCGACTCACCAATGCAGGTGGTATCTCCGATCGAAGTCGTCCTGTGAACATATCGCTCCACAGCGCCCTCTGAAACATCGATTTCGAACTAAGCGACTTGGCGATGGCTTCCGCAGCCTCCACTCCAACTGTGTTCCCGTCGAGCCGTAGCACCCGTAACCGTGGGCACTTCTCCATTGCTTCCACCACTTCTTTAGCTGCGAACAAAAAGAATCCATATTCACAAAGTGTTCACCCACACATTACGAAGCGTGACACCCAGTATTAACACGAGATAAATCGACAAAGTGATTATTTGATCATGAAATAGGAGCAGAAGAAATAACAAATTTAACTGTACATCAGTCTCAAAGCCTGGTCAAACTATGAAACACATGGCAAATTACGATGCTGAATTTCCCATGCTCCGGCTTCTAGCCTGCATTTCTTTACCATCTTCTGCCTTATCCAGAGAGACATGATACAAGATTGCCACAAGACATTGATACAAGATTCTACCGCCCTACCTTCCAGAAACCCCTCTGAATTTATCTACAGTGCTATCCACAAAACTCATACAGATTAAAATTGCATCAAGCCTGCATTTCTTTACTATCTTCTGCATTATCTAGCTTCTACTGCCCTACCTTCCAGAAAACCCTCTGAATTTATCTACAGCGCTATCCACAAAACTCATACAGATTAAAATTGCATCAAGTCTGCATTTCTTTACTATCTTCTGCCTTATCTAGCTTCTTCAGTCACACCTTCCCCAAACTCCCTTGATTTTATCTACAGCGCTATCCACATAAGTCATACGGATTAAAATCGCTTAATCAAGCCGCCATTTCTTTACCATCTTCTGCCTTATCTAGCTTGAGTCCCCGTCCGGAGAAGCTAACGAGTTCCGTCAGTTCGTCGACGGCGACTGTGGTGTCTGCTAGGCGCTCTGTCAGGCTTTCCAGATCGTTGTCACTCGACATCGCTCACGTGTGGTATGGACTATGGTCACTGCCTGGCACTCGCGTCGCACGCAGGCACCCTGTGGCGTTGTAGGAAGATCACGTTAGATAGGATTACTATACGATTCATACCAGATAATGAACTCAGTCAGTACACAATCGAAGTCTATACTACTACTACTACTACTACTACTACTAGTACTAGCTCTAGTAACTATAGCCCGCGTACAGTTGCTGCTGGGCTATAGAACCAGCCATTAGGGATGCACGGGACCAACTCAAGCACGCTTATACGTGGCTATAATATATGTATTATATATATATATATTAGTGTAAGCGTGCAACAGTCACGCCGCGAAAGCAATGGCGCCGGCAGCGTATGGTTGGACGTAGGATTTGGACGGTGAAAGAGAGTATAGAAACATTAAGAATTTGGTAATAAATAGATTTCGTATTTAGTTAGCATTATATTTTACGCAGTGGCTACGGGTACGGTAGCCGTCGGTCGTTGAAGCCCCTTTTTGGCGTTAGGGTTAGGGTTAGGGTTAGGATTAGGGTTAGGGTTAGGGTTAGGTTTAGGGTTATGGTTAGGGTTAGGTTTAGGGTTAGGGTTAGGTTTAGGGTTATGGTTATGGTTAGGGTTAGAGTTAGGGTTAGGGTTCTAGCTCATCTAAACTCTCAAATCGTGAATTTATTTCCCGAGGAGTTATTTCGAAATCTGGCGCCACCGCCGCCATCTTTGTCTCGTTAAGTATGAAAGCGAATGGACTCCCGTACCCGTAGCCTCGAGACATTAAGATACGGCTGCAGCGAATACGTAGTGTGATTGCCGTACCCGTAGCCTCGAGACATTAAGATACGGCTACCGTACCCATAGCCACTGCCTATATTTTATTGAAACGCTTCAAGTGCCTGTGCTCCGTATTGCTTGTGTATTACGAGGAAACGATTTCGCACGATGCTAGGCGAATGTACTGGCTACTGTGTACGATTTGAGCTCGTTGGATGAGTTACGCGTAGTAAATCGTAAGTATTATAATATCACAGTGGCTATATGCCCGGCAGCCGGCGTATATCTGACGGCTGCCGGGCACGGTCTTCGATTTCCTAAATGCCCGGCAGTTTTTAATTTTTAGCGTTATCTCAAGTAAACAAGGGTTAGAGTTAGAGTTAGGATTAGGGTTAGGGTTAGGGTTAGGTTTAGGGCTAGAGTTAGGGTTTTTGTTAGGTTTAGGGTTAGGGTTAGAGATAGGGTTAAGAACTGCCGGGCATTTAGGAAAACGAAGACCGTGCCCGGCTGCCGGGCATATAGCCACAGCGTTATAATATAAGGCTAGTAAATGACGAATTTCCCTTGTTTATTGATGTCACACTCCTTCCCTATTATCTACTCCTGGTATTACTAACCGTACGGCGTACTGCGGACATAACTCATACCAAAAAATTGAAAAATAAGACGCCATCACTCATTAATGAACCAATCATGTGAAATACCAAGCCATTACCGATTTCCCAATTTTAATTGCAAATGAAACAGTGGTCAGTTTTAATTCAATCAATACTGTATTTACCCCCAAATGGCTATCTTGTACCTCGAATGCTCACCTTTCACTTTGTACTGTAGCAAACTACAGAATTTTTGGCGCTTTCACCGGGCTGTCGAGTTTTAATATAAACTCACTAGAGGCAGCACTATCGTGAGTGCCACATGGTGATCATTGATTGTCCCAAGATATAAGAAACGTCTTTTCCAAGAAAAAGACTTACCAATAAAGTTTATTGGGCTGCGATTTCTATGGTATTTTCATACAAACATCTATCTAGGTTATCTACCTTCGTTATTATTCTATTACTAATTATTAATTGTCCGTATTTATATATCTTCGTTTAATTACGTACACAGCAGTGTTGGTCTATCTATTTTATCATCTTTCTCTCTCTCCGTCTTCGATATAGTCATTAGGACTTTGATACTGATCTTTATAAGGTTTATCGCCCGTTTAGATTCAGTTTTGATGGCGCCCGGAATTTAAAGAGTTGGCTGTAAATAATGATGTGCGGGCTTCATTCTTGCGAGATCCGTCACGTGACGAGCTTGGTCTATCTGCCACCATCTTGTATAAGCGAGCAAGTATGCACGCAGGTGTGCTGCGCGTTCCTGTAACTATATATACGTGTGAAGTACAAAACCTTATATATCTTGTATTAACCGTTATTTAATTAATCAAGAGACAGCGAGGAGCACATAACATGTGGTACCCCGCCAATTAAGTGGATATGCCATTGGTATGTGTATGTATATACTTATATTTACCATATATCGTAATCTACAGACCATACATTTAGTCAAGTCGGCTCATCCTTCCAACACTCCTAGCTTTGTCTTTCGCGATTAAGGGAAACGTCAAATTCACTTACACGGTATAGTTATTTGAGAAAAAAAGTAGAGCAAGGCAGTGCAACAGCAGTGAATTGTAACTTAGACATAATAAAATATATATGTAGCCTAAAGTTTTATAGTATTTCCAAACATATACACTCCTAATTATTTTTCCGTTATATTTGTGTTTCTCCCACTGGCACCCCGCTCCCACCTTCCCTCTCCTTATCCCTATACCCCCCTCTCTCTCTTTCTCTCTCTCTCTCTCTCTCGCTCTCTCTCTCTCTCTCTCTCTCTCTCTCTC